CTGCTACTGCTGCTGCTACATCAGCTCGTGGCATAGCTCAACAACTCGATTTACCGGGAACCTCCCGCGCTCCCGCCCCAGGAGTGTAACGAAATACGGAAGCCAGATTTTGGCTGCCATTCCTTGTGTTTCAAAGTTGACTTTATCGCGCCATGATACTATCCGCCCTCCCAGCATCACCCGCTTTTACCGTTGTGCCAGAGTGGAGATATTTTACATCCCGGTCGGTGGTGGGATGGAAAACGTTTGAAAGTTTTGAAAATTCATGGGATGGGATGATGCTTCGCCGGCAAAAACAAGGGAGCTGATGTTTCGACAATTTGAGGAAATTTCTCTTGAACTGAGATGCCGCCTTGTTTCAAAGAAGGAGCAGAAAGGCGAAGTCTTTTCAAACGGCAAGGAGGAGACAGATTTAAATACCTTAATATGATTAGGACCAAAGATAAAGTCGCTGCGATTTTGCGCTCCATTTGCTCGGAGGTAAATAGAGCAAAAACGGAGCAATCGTACACAAAGGTGGTTTCCTTGCCGGAACAGATTTGTGAAAGCGGAAATAGCGTCGAGGTTGTTTTCCTCGAAGAAGGGGGCGATGTTTTTGAACGTTGCAGTCTCCAAGCAGATTGACAACCCCCAGATAGAAATCATCCAATTAACATTTGTCCACTTTTATGGATTTAGTGATAGTTAAAAGATGTTTCCGCTTTTCCCATTCTGTGGGTTAACCACCTGGGAAGGCACCATTGCCTTACCGATGGGGTTATTGCAGCTTCCTTGTAGTTCTCCGATTTTCACAATGTACGATAGCATCTCACTGGTGCAATAAAACCAGGAAAGACATTAGGTTTGATGCCACCATTAGCACATTTGGCTTTAGTTCGCGCTATAAAATGAAGGCTTTCGAATGGGGTTGTAGTATAGAAACATTTCCATTGTAGAGTTTGTTGCATTGACAGTGGCCTGGGTAAGCTGAACTAACGTTAGAACGTTTTACGAAGTTGAGAGGTTTCCTGGGGCGAAGTCCAAACGTAGATTATCATTTTCAGTTTAGTTTCTCTATCTACATTGGATGTAGAGTTTTCACATAATCCTACGATTGCAAAGTCTTATGCGTGCTTTATTTAGGTAAAAATGGCTTATTTTACACATTTTTTGCGAAAAAAAAGAAAGATTAAATCACAACCGACTCGCATACCTCACACTTTAATCTCCACCAAACGGATGTCCATCCTTAAAACACTCAAACACCTAATTCAATCATATTTCCACCCTGTCCAAAAGATGGACACCAACCGGAGCAATGAATGAACTACGCGAGCCACTCACAGAGCTTGACCGTATGGAGACGAACAACGGTTGTCCGAGAGAGAGAGAAAAAAGCATAATCCCGAACAAACTTGCCAAGGCAGCTTGCCAGCCAGCATTGGACAGCTTGGAAGTGGCGCTCATAAATTCAATTTATGAACTTCTCGCTTCTGTTTTTGTTTTCCACATAATACACCGACCGACCGCCGCTTCTCGTACTCAGTCCGATCCGGTGGTGTGACCATCGCAAACTCCGTCAGGAGGGATCCAGCAAAACCGCACTTTAGTGGTCCAGCAGATGAATAGCTGCTTGATTGAATGAAAATATAATCATGGTTAGTAGTAGTGTTATGCCTCGGTGTGAGCTGAATGCAGGGGGTGAAAAAATAAGCCACATAAATTGATATAAAAATTATGACGAGCTGTCGGCGTGGGGCTAACTGAAGTGGGAAAGTTAGCTGTGTTTCATGTTTTCCCCATCGGCTGCAACTCATCCTTTCCACTCGAGAAATAACAGCTGGAATAGTTTTTCTTTGATTCAATTTACCCCGAGGCATCGACTGATTAGTTTAATGTCTGTGTCAGTAAAGGAACATCATAATTGAGGCCTGTAGCATTTGCAACGCTGGAGGTTAGAGAGGAAAAGTAGGTTTACCTTCCAACACCTGCAAAGAATTAACGAGAGGATGCTGCAAATAGTCATTCGAAAGAAAGCAATTTTGCTCTGGGTTAATTATTCAGAGCGGAAACAGATAAAAAGTTGCACCGGGAGGAACTGCTGTAGCTTAGGTTTTGCCACCGTTGGTGTCACGGTGGCAGTTGTTGCAAAGTTGCATTCATACTCACAGAGGATGGTCATTCAATATGCAACTTTTGATTCTTAAATTGTTGATGGGATGGGGGTGCTCATAGAAAAGGTTTGGGTCACGGTTTCGTGCAGTAGCTTTGTACAGCCAGCGTGCAGCAGAGGTTGCCATCCTTTTTGAGAAAGTGACTCGTTCTTTACATTTGAACAATTCTTGCTCAAATGTTCGAATACTTTTGATCAGTGCCTTGTATTGGTAGTTGAGTATTCTTCACTAGTAACAATTCTGAATGAACTTCAGTCACTACAGTAAGTTTGGATCGTACTGAGTAAGTATGGATCGTACTGATTGTGGAGCTCGACAACAGGATTATTTTAATTATTTTTATTATAGTCACTCTAGAGTCGTTAGTGACTTGTCTGGGCTGACATTTGAACTTGTGACTATAACGTAAGATGTATGGATTTTAATCACTATGCCAGGACCGTCCCACAGTGGCACAGTGGTCCAAACGGTTAACAACGTGATCCCGTGGAATAACTCCAACACTTTTAAGTTTAGGTACAAAGTGTCTTGGAGAAGTTTCTCAAGCAGTAGGAATAGTTTACAAAGATTATCTTTTGACATGATTAAAGATAGAAATAAGGACATGAGAGAGAATGCTTTGATGCAGAAATAAGGAATGGTATTGAATGTGGCTAGCTGGAACGTCAAAGGATGCAGAAGTAACAGTAAGAGAGAGGAGTTAGATGAGCACAGTTCGAAAAAGTAGTGTAAATTTCTGTCACTATGATGCACATAAATGGAGCGTCACATATCATACAAATTCACATCACAGATTGTGTAAATTTATGAGTTATTTAATGAAATATTCTAAATAATGTATGCAACCATCCATCTTTGTAAGCAATATGTCTTGCAAGTTGTTAGTTTATTGAAAAGGAAGTTTACATGCTTCAATTTTAGCATGCATGGCTATTTATTTACATCACCATAAAAATTCATAATTTTTTGGTGTGAGGTATTGAATGGTAAGAGAATTGATATGGCTGCTATGTAAGAGGTCAACACATTAGGAGATGAGGTGAATACACAAAATCATGTTTGGAAGGTTAGAGGAAATCTCATTAACAAGACAAGAGGACTTGTTTTTGCGATTAGGAAAAGTCTGAACGAAAAATTATTTGATTGCAAACTAGTTCAAAAAGGCATGGGTAAAACTGATAATAGGAGGCAGTAAAATAATAATTATTAATTTACATGCTCCTAATATCAAACCAAATGCTTTCCTTAACAAACAAACAGTGTTGACAGGTGCAGAGAATGATCGACGCGTCATATTAATTTTGCGAGTTGGTAATGCCCAACTTTGTTTAGATGATCTTAAAAGAGAAGATGATAAATTGATAGGAGATCACTAGATCAAGACTTCAAGATATTCAATTATAGGGAAAAAATAAAAGTTAAAACCGAAGAGATTTTTAAAGAAGAGAATGACAAAATTTCAGTTGGAGAATCTACAGGAGACGAAAGCAAGAATAGGAAATATAGACACTGAAAAATAATATGAAAAAACTAATTACTCAAGGATGTAGTGGGGATCACTTATCGGTTTTGATGATAGGAACATTATGAAATAAACTTCATCTTCGGAAATTAAAAAAAAGTAATAAAAACTTGAGGAGCTGGCCAAAAGGATAGTAAAAAGATTTTGGTACGATTTTTTCTCGTTACAATTTTTATCATCAAGCTTGTTTGAGAGTGTGCAATAGTTCCATGTATTTAGCAAATAAATAAATAAAAACACAGAGCGTTATCAGTTAGGTAAGTTACTTCATCATCAAAGATAAGTCACCGTATATACTTTCCCAAAATGATAGCAATTACATATAAAACATTATATTATTATATGAACCAATGTTACATGCTGGGAAAGGGAGGGACAACCAGGGCACCCAATTGAATTGAAATGGATGGGAAGAGTGGAAATACCAACTCCCTGTCTTTAACATTTCGTGAATAGAGGGTGGGCTCTTCTCCTCACTCATTGGGCATCATCCGGTTGTATGATTCTGCTGTTGGAAGGAGATTCTCAATCATCCCGTAGATACACGTGGGCGATGTTGCCAATCCGTTTTGGTCCTTCATACAATGATAGATTGAATATAATTAGAGATTATTGAGCTTGATTTTTTTTTTGTCAAATATTATTTATTTAGGTCTCGTAATAAATAACATATTCAAGATATTTAAAAAATATATCAATCTTCTAGACTCAAAATGGAATCTAGCTCGCCTACATCGATTCTTTTATTAATATTCACATTAACAAAGTTGATGTACTTAATGAACGTTTTTAAAATATAATTTCTTACCGCTGTTGTCATGTTACTCAAGATCAAGACCGTCGAAGCTCAGCCTCGGCCAGCCGCCGAGCGTCGTCGTCAATTTTCGCTGGATGTGTGCCCAAGCTGCAGCAACTCGAGGGCACTTGCAAAAAGTATGTTGCAAAGTCTCGATTCCTACCGCACAGTGCTGACAGTTTGGGTCCTTTGCACGGCCGATGACGTTCATCAGTATACGGTGCACCGTCTTCTCGTTCACTACCAGGTAGAGATCAGTATGCTGGCTCGACGATAGTCTTCTCGATGATATGTTCATCCAGATCTTTTTCCAATTGATGCCTGGATGGTTTCGTTCCACTGGAGGGGTTTTGTTGGATGTAGTGTGGAAATAAACGAATTTGCTATGAGAGAAGTTTTAGGCAATGAAGATCGGCGGGGGGAGGAATATTTTGGGCGAGAAGGGACTGATAATAGGGAAGGGAAACGATCTCCTGCAGGTGACGATTGACTAGAAGCGCTTTGCATTTGATCGCCGGCAGTTGTAGTTTCAATCCACCGTGCTACTGCATTGGGACTCGTGCGGGTAGCTCACGAAAAAGGAAAGTCCCCGTACCGTTGATGTCAGCTCCACCGTGTGAGCACATTGCGGTGGAATAACAGACGAGAGGTACCACACCTTCGCTGTGATGAAGATGTTCTGCTGCAGGGAAAGGGAGCGCATGTTATGCAACCATATGAGTTGCAAGATCCTGGATACTAAATCGTCCCAGTTTAGTTATACCATCAGCCGCTCTGAGTTGGTGAAAATAACGCCCAGTACCTTTGTCTGCAGCCCTGGTCAGCCCTGGTATCGTCAGTGGATCTCCATTGATGAAACCGACATCGATCGCCACTGTTTTCAGCCGATTTAGCTTTGCCTCGGATACGATCTCAAAACTACCAAACAACTGATAAATACGGTCGATCGGATGTTTTGAGGTGGAACTCACCATAATGTCATCATCATACGCAACGCAAAGGTCACCAGCGCACACACGCTCCACCAGTGTGTGGAGGGGATGAAGATAGAGCACGAACAGCAGCATCGACATCGGGTCTCCCTGGCGTACGGACCGTTCTATACGGAACGGCTCTGAGAGGCACCCATTTACTAGCAGCCGCGATGAAGAGGCAGCAGCGACTCGAGAGAGCCAGCAAACGAAACCCTAGTCGAAGCCCAGAGAGAGCAGGGTCCGATGCAGGAACTCATGAGAGACCCGATCGAACGCGTGGTCAAGATCGAACGAGATCATCTTCCCTTCTGCTTCCTCGCCATTAGCTTGATCAAGTCGAACAGCGAGGACAGCCCACAGCTACTGATAGGTGTCTTGCTACAATGAATGGTAGTTCCATGTCATCATCATATAGTGTCTTTGAAGAAGTTTTTAGCCATGCAAAGCCCTATCTTATGACGGTACTTATTGGTTGATTACTTGCTCTAAAAGTGAGACTGAAAATCCAGTTTTATTTTTTCAAAGTTGAGATAGAGGGTTAGGGATCCAATTGGCACATTTTTTTTATTTTAATAAATCATAGGGTGGCAAATTGATGCAGATCAGATAACTCCTGCTGAAAATACACCTAAAACACTGAAAAACCTTTTCAGAATAAGCTTCATCTAACAACATCGTGAAAAGTTACAGCAGTTTTAAGAAGAGAGCATAATCAAATTTCAATATCAACATATTTTCGTCAGAATACATAGGCGACATCCACACTACTTTGTGTTGCTTCCCGAAAAGGTTCAAATATCATCGTTCTTAATTATGATTGATTGAAAATATTTCCAATAAAAATCAAATTTTCAACATCACTCTTTACTCGCTTTCAGCTTTTAGCTTGCATGAGATCATTTCCGTAATCATCTTAACACACTGATAAAAATCTGCATGTTATAACTTTATGAATACATGAAACATTGTGTAGCGAGAAATGGGTTTGAATCTCGAATCATAATTCAATAAGACGTTATCCCCTACAATATCATATGAGTAAATGCTAATTGGTATTCAGTAACGAAGAAGAAGAAGAAGAAGAAGAAGAAGGAGAAGAAGAAAGCGGACCGGAACAAGAAAAACTATGTTGCGCGCGCTACATATATTTAATCGTTTGAGGAAGTAATGTATCAAGGATAGCTGATAGAAGAAATTTGATTGATAAAACTGCTGTAACTTTTCACGATGTTGCCAGATGTAGATAATTTCAGCTGAATTTTGCAGTGCTTTTGTTGTACTTTCTTACAGAAGTTGTCTGATCCACCACAACTTGCCGCCCTATGATTTATTCAAATTAAAATATGGGCCAATTTGGATATCTCCGAAATTACAAAGAACAGTGGGTAATTGTCTTCTACAAAAATGTGTATTTAAACAAAATAAACAACTCATTAGAATATTACAAATACATAAACAATACATGGAAAAGTTAAGGTCATTAAACAGATCTTTAGCGATCGTCCGTAAATAGCGCTCAAATGCTTTGTTGTGTGAATATATAGAGAGTTGATGTCTTGAGCAAAGTTGTTTGTATCAGTCCGCACCGTGCTCTCTTGCTTTTTGCTCAAGGAAGTGTTATTGCTACCTAAAGCCACTACAAATTTAAACAGCACTTCTCAGTGCTAAATATTACCTGACATTTTTTACCTTGCTTGATTTTTATTCCTCTTCGATACTTATTTAAACTCTACCCGTGGTTATCCTGCTTGGATATCGATTTTGAAAATTCCTCTTCGATCCTTCGGACTCTTATAGTAATTTGATCGGAAGTCTATTTGATGAAACTTTCTTCTGCCGCCATGGCACCTTAACGCAAAAGAAAAGAAAATCTCTTGATCCCTCTTCTGATGAAATTTATTTGAGCAACCAGTTTGGTATGCTCATGGATGATATAAATTCCACTTAACATCCTCGGCTTAATGCCAAGAAGGAAAAAGTCCCCATATTGTGATAATTACTTCGAATTTCCATGCACTTCACATGGAACTTTTGAACTTCGTTAAATTCAAGTTTTCACTTCAAATTGGCCGTCGAACTGAATGTCGTGTATTGACTGAAACCTTGGACGGATTCTAAAGTCTTCTAAAGTATCTTACTGAGAAGCAACACAGATCTTTAAGTTACGAAACCAAAAACTGAACGCCTGTACAAGGTTGTCATGGAAGGTCTGCCCAGTGGTTAATCCTTGGATAAGATCAAAGATGAATTGACAAAATTACTTGGAGTTGAGCCAGTTCAAGTAATCAAAATTTAAATTAAATCCCGTCTTGGCGATTCACGCAATGGGATTTCCAATGTTTAGTTCAGTTCTAGTCTAGTAAAGAAAACAACCTTAAGGCCTTAGAAAACGCTAGTGTTATGCTCCATGTCCGAGTGAAGTGGGGACACTTCAGGAAGATTGGAGGAAATTTACAAATCCTCACCCAGTCCCATAATAAGTGCCAGAGAAGGGGTCAGCTAAATGAATTGTGGTGATTCCTCACACGCAAAGGACGCAAACATTTATCATATTAGGGTAGATGAGCCTGTTTTGGCACTAGCCCCAGTATTTGGCCCATGTGGAAATTTTAGCTGATAATAAGATATCATAGATATATTGGGCTCTGACCGTCTGTATTTTAGCACAGCAACACTGGTTAAGTAGCATTTAGTTAACTTCCAAATATTGCTTCTCTTTACCGTGTCGTCGATAAAATGAAAGTCAACGTAGTTCCTTACACGCTCGTCAGATATTACTATAAAATGAATTTCATCTTCGCAATTTCAACATCATGTCGGTTAAGTATGAATCATATCCAGGCATGGAAAATCATTTACATTAATTTAAATAGTGTATGAAGCTATTTTAGGTTTTAATATTAGCTACAACTTTTGCCAGTAATTCAAATCTGTATCTCTTATGCATGATGAACCAGAGTAAACGAAAGATACTATTGTTCTTCAGTGAATGCAAATTACATTAATTGAAAAACAATAACAAAATCTGCACGCCCTAGTTCGTCGTGCATAAGAGGTGCAGATTTGTGTTTTCACAAAAATTGTAGCCAATAACAATATCTACAACAAATCTTCATGCATCATTATACGAAATTCTGGTGATGAAAAAATTAGTGGTAAATGAATGTCAAATGATTTTCCATGCCTTGTCATACCATAGTAGTACCATAGAGGTAACTCAAAGACTAGAAGGTCCCGAAGAAACGTGCTCAACTTTTTGGCTCAGCTCTGGTACTCACTTCGGTCCCAGGCTAATCGATGAACCCCTCGAAACATAGAAAAATCCACGAACCCCTCATTTTATCTGTCAAACTTTCATTGAGAATCAAAACAAACATAGTGTAGTACTAGAATAGCGACTAGAATGGGATATGTTAATCGATTTGCTTGGTACAAATTGGCTAGTCTAGTAGTAAGCCAATTTAAAATCGTTAGTTTCCACCGGTTGGTAGTACAGAACAGAAGGGTAAGTGCAAACAAATTGATGAATCAAAAAGTGGTACGTTTTGCTGCTCAACAAGCGATGCGTAGTGGTAGCGTTTCAAGGGTTTCTATGCGCCCTCACACTATCATAGCATGCTGCCTATCTTAACTGCAGATAGAAGATGCCTTTTACCGCTGTGTGCGTTTCTGATTCAATTCATGAATGAACTTTGACAGGAGGCGGTTACCTAATGGCTGTGAGAAGCAACACCAATATCATCATATTCTGTCAGGCAAACCAGCTCCTGTCATTTCGTAAAATGGACTATACGCACGAAAATGTTAGATGAAAGTTGATCTGTCAGTACCTCAGCATTGGTTGATCATGAACAAATAATCGATTTCCGTGGATTTGAAACTTTTGAAAATGTCTGATTAGGGAAAATGGCTACAATATTGGCGAATGGATCGAAAGTTTGATTCCGTCAATAAAAATCTGCTGTTCGTTGTGTGCAAAATTCTTTAAGAGAAACAAATAATTTTCAGAAAAAGCAATTCGAATCGGTAAAATAAAGTTTTACCAGGAAAACAATTTGTTGAATAGAATTTTTTTTTGTGTGTACTAAATTGTTCTTCTGGTGTGTTTTTGTGATTTGTTCAATAAAAAATTCAATGCAATTTTGGACTCGCAAAAAAGAGATTACCTGCCTTTTCGGAAATGATGGAGCATTATGATTTAAGCTGCAAGGTGTTGATTTTTTACCTCTAGACTTTGTCTCGATCCGAAAATATTGAAATTATACAGGGATAGAAATCCGATTATAACTTTTGGTAAGTTTCTATTTATAAAATGTATAATTCATTTAATTAGCAGACGCCTTGCAAACAACTCAATGAAGATCATGTGTCAAATGAAATGTATAAATGGTTGCACATACCGTTTATGAATTCTTATATGACCTTTGTGGTTTGTCTTATGGAATGTGTAAGGCTGATATTTGGAAAAAAATATATGAGTGAAACACATGAATAAAATATTAAATTTTCGTTTCGTGTAAGGTATTATGATATACCCTGGAAGATGATAACATATTTTATTGTAAACACTGCCCCCATTGCAAAAATACCAACATTGCAAATTACCCAAAACTTTTCCCACACGGAAAGTGGTCATTTTGGATACCGAATTGGAGATGTACATACAATTTTGGCCTTTTCCTCCCGTTTAAAATACCCTGCTAGAACA